ATTTAAGATATTTTGGATGAAAACCGGGAGGCTTGTGACTGTCCGATTGACTGCCAAGTAAATTACACTGTCAAGCTCCAGAAAAGTATGAAAAGCATCGTCAGAATAGTCCATCTGCCATCAGTGGTTCCAACCGTAACGTTATGAAGCGACGAGAATAGTTTTTGTATACGAAGAAAACAAAAATAACGACTTTATTCAACAATTCGTCTCCTCTGTGTCTCTCCGCATCACCGTAGCGCCATTTTGGAGAATATCTGATGAACGCAAGCAGCGCACGCTATTCTGTGTCAGCCGCACTGCACGGATGCGCTGTTTTCATTCAAATCAAAGCGTAAATACCAAGCGGCAACCTCCCGCTCTCTCGTGAAGCCAACACGGACGTGACTTAAACTGTAATTCATCGTCTGGCCGCTAGAGGCTGGCTGCAAAAGGGAGTCAATCCCATAGACTCCCCATGTTAAAATGCCCAACTTTACAGCAGAAAAAAACATGTTTACAGCCTGGTTCAAAAAATTATTTTAGTCTATATAGCTAATTTTTGCCTTCATGACAACTGTGAGGGGGGTGAATTTTTTTATAACTCATCCGTTTAAATTATATTAAGCCGTAAAGTTCTGCATAATTAAGGGCGTGGCCACTTGAGTGACAGGTTAATTATGAATTTATCAGTCTTTTGCATACGCCAAATAGAAGCAGAAAATCGTGCTATACGCACTTTCATGAGATCGGGTTAGCCTACAACAATTAATTTGTTGGCTATTTTACAAATGGGAATACAACGAATTCATGACAATGTTTACATTCAAGCTACCCGTAAAATTTATAGTGAAAAGTACTTTAAAAGCGTCTGGAATGCAATAGAGTAATTTTAAAGCTGTTTTTTAAAGCATTTTGCTGCATGGATAAAAAATATAAATAATTAACATATCATACAAAATTGCAACATAAAAATCAGAAAAAGCAGCTATACAATTATAGGACAAAGTTTTACATATATGCCATTATAATTAGTGTTTTATTTTTTAACTGTACGGAATTATAAAATAAAACGCAAATTATAATCGGGCCTTCCATCAATTATAGTGATGAAAAAATGACTCGCCATCTCCTAATTGGATGTGCCTTTAGAGAGAAGTGCACGGATTACACAATGAAAGAGTTTATTTTATTAGGAGTCTATTTTCGATTTGAATTATTTTGTTTTAAAGTAGTAATTTAAAGCTTTCTGTATATTTTGATCATGTCTGAGTTTAGGTTCATCACTGCTCCTGTTCAAGCCCGAGACGGCTGAAAGCGTTTGTTTTCTTTTACCGTTTCAAAAGAAATATGAATCAGCACAACTGTTGATAATTCTAAGAATAAATCAGCATATTAGAATGATTTCTGAAGGATCATGTGACACTTTATACTGGCTGATGGAAATTCAGCTTTGCATCACAGAAATAAATGATATTTTAAAGGATATTAAAATAGAAACCATTATTTTATATTGTAATAACATTTTGCAAGATTACTGTTTTTTTTCTTTATTTTTGATCAAATAAATGCAGCCTTGATGAGCAGAAGAGACTTCTTTAAAAAACATTACAAGTCTTACTGATCCCAAACTTTTGACCAGAAGTGAGTATGTATATATATATATATATATATATATATATATATTATAAATAAGGTTTTTACATTTTCAGATAATTTTTTTTTCATTAAAGTAATGAAAGAGTTTTGTTGACTGATGTGACTGTGTTTGTGTGCAGTGGGATATCCGCTCCGGCGAGGTTGTTCAGGAGTACGACAGACACCTCGGTGCCGTCAACACCATCACCTTCGTGGACGAGAACCGGCGCTTCGTTAGCACCTCCGACGACAAGAGCCTGCGCGTCTGGGAGTGGTGAGGAGACACTTTATTACTGAAATTCACATTAAATCCACAGTGAGTGCTTCCCTTGATGAACAGGTAGACGTCACAGCTTAATCTCTCAGATATGATCATTCAGATTTTAGAGCAAAATCTGTGTAGGTACCATGAAAATAATGTTGCAGTGTCTTAATGGTCCTTAAAACAGGCAGCACTTTCTTTGTGCAAATGTCATTTTTATTTTTTTAATCTTCTGATTTTTGAGGTGAAAAGTGATCAGTTCATTTTAGTTTAATTCTTTGCTGATACTTTTCAACAGGTTAGAAAAATGAAAATGAAAATAACTCAACATCAGCATTATTATAGTTAACTAAAACTGAAACTAAAACCATTAAAAAACATTTTTGTTGCTTGAAATAAAATGTTAACTGAAAAAAAATGTATTTCTATAATATAATAACTATAATAACTTTTTCAGCTAATTGCAAAGGCAACACTTTTAATTTTCATTTAGTTTACCTTGTTATACTAAAATAACTGAAATAAAAATTAATAACATATATATATATATATATATATACTAATAAAAATGACAGAATTCTTAAAATGTAAAAATCAAAATGAAAAGTATAAAAATTATTCAATATATTAATAAAAACTATAATAGTATCTCGGTTATATTAAAATAACACTGATCAACTTTTGTTCTGAAATAATGTTTTTATTACTTAAACCAATTCATTTAATTGAAAAACAAAAGTTTTAATCAATTAATCACACTTATTTAATAATCCACACTCAAAAACGGAGTTGCATATAAACATTTAAATTGCACTTCAGGCAGATTTTCAATGAACTGGTTAATGAAATAATTGTTTCTACTCCAGCTTTAATAACTTGTTTTCATGACCGATTTATGCATATATATATACTACCAGTCAAAAGTTTTTGAACAGTAAGATATTTAATGTTTTTTAAAGAAGTCTCTTCTGCTCACCAAGCCTGCATTTATTTAATCCAAAATACTGCAAAAGCAGTAATATTGTGAAATACTTGTACTATTTAAAATAACTGCTTTCTATGTGAATATCTGTTAAACTGTGATGCGAAGCTGTATTTTCAGAATCATTACTCCAGTCTTCAGTGTCACATGATCTTCAGAAATCAGTATAATATGCTGATCTGCTGTTCAAGAAGCATTATTATTATTATTTAAGAGAATTCTGTAAAAAACATTAAAAACTGACTGTTAATGTATACGTTAAATATTGAAGAACAGGTTAAGTAAGAATATAATGAATATGTAATATAGTGATATATTTAGCTTGTCTCTAGAGTTCATTTTTCTAGCTGACTATCGAGTTTATGGTCATTAAATGACTTTTCTGAGGTAAATGTGACATTATTGGTCACAAACGGTTTTATTGACGTCTTTACTCCACATTTACTGTTTATATTGCTATAAACTGACACAATTTTTCTTATAAAAAGGAACAGCACAAAGCTTCTTACATTTACATTTATATTTAGTCATTTAGCAGATGCTTTTATCCAAAGGGACTTACAAATTAGTAAAGCTTTATTTATATAGCATGTTTTAAAACGGTGTTTACAAAGTGCTTTACAGCATAGAAAATGTACAATGCACAATAACAAACATAAAAAAAATTTAATCACATAATAGAAATAAAATAATAAAATGAGTCAAGGAAAGGCCCTAGCGAACAAATGCGTTTTGAGATACTTTTTAAAAGTGCACAGTGAGTCGATGGCTCATAGGTTGGGACCGAAAATAACTAAAGGCTGACTCACCAATTTTTAGCCGAGTCTTAGGCACAACCAACAAATTACTGTTTGATGTTCGGAGCGATCTTGCTGGAGTATATTTATTTAACAAATTAGAAAGGTATATAGGGGCCAGTTCCATGAAGACCTTTAAAAACTAATAAGAGGATCTTAAATTCAATTCTGAATGATACAGGCAGCCAGTGAAGGGATTTGAGTGTTGGAGTAATGTGATTTCTAATTTTAGAGCGAGTTAGCGTTCGTGCAGCTTCATTCTGAACTCTTTGTAGGTGTTTAATAGAGCTCTTTGGTAACCCAGCAAAAACACTGTTGCAGTAGTCAAGTCTAGACGTAACAAATGCATGAACAAGTTTCTCACTGTCAGAAGGGGAGAGAATGTCACGTGCTTTGGAGTTGTTTCTGAGGTGATAATATGCGGTTTTAGTAACCATGCTAATATGTTTTTTAAAACTGAGGTGGCTATCAAATATAATTCCTAAGTTATTGGCCTGATTACTGGCTTTTAGTGATAGAGAGTCAAGATGTGGAGCAATAGATCCTCTCCGCACGTCATTACCGATAACAAGTATCTCTGTCTTATCTTTGTTTAGCTGTTAAAAATGTTTCTGGGACATCCACAATTTTATGCTCTCTATGCAGTCAAGTAGTGTGGAAATTGAATTATGGGCATCTGGTGCAAGTGAAAGATAGAGTTACATGTCATCTGCATACTGGTGAAATGAAATATTGTACTGGTTAATTACACCAGCTAAAGGAAGCATGTATAGGTTAAATAACAGAGGACCCAAAAATCGAGTCATGAGGAACACAACAAG